AAAAAAAAAAAAAAAAAAAAAAAAAAAAAAAAAAAAAAAAAAAAAAAAAAAAAAAAAAAAAAAAAAAAAAAAAAAAAAAAAAAAAAAAAAAAGCTACTGTAGTTGTGTATCCGACTTATCTTGAACACACTCACATACACACACAGCTGCAAGAGCAATGGAAGGGGTACCCCAAGGACAACCCAAAACCGTCTAATTATAAAATTGCCTTAATGTGTTGGACTGTGACTGTCTCATCTCAAATGCTCTCGTTGTCTGCAATACGGAAAAGACTGCTTTGATTCTGAATCTATTCATCTGGGTGGAATTGGGGCTGTTGGGGAGAAAATCTATAACACACACACACACACACACACACACACACACACACACACACACACACACAACCAGTTCTGCTTGGCCCGCTGAAGCTCACCCAAGATTGCGAGTACAGGCCCTTCAGGGCCGGTCCGGTTGGCCCAACGGTCCACCAAAAACTGCGCCAACAATTTTCGGGGGTCCACCAGGCACTGGAAAATTGCCTGGGGACCCCAATTTGTTTTTTGAATTTTCTCAAAATGGGGCCCGACTGGACACCTCAAACCGGACACCGGATCCGGACATCCAGACCGGACCGTCTGGATCCCGATCCGGATGTCCGGTTGACAACCATGAAAAATTTCCTGTCTGCAGCATCCTATTCTCCTACTCTTTTTTCTTTTTTTTTTTTAACAAGAAAAATCACTTTCACTAACGTCGACGGACAAGTACCTGGACCCTGACGAGATAATCAATCCCCATTTCTGGGAGCAGGGGGGGACACTGGCAGTAGCCACCATCGAGAGTGAAGTGGAGGATAGCTCAGAAGCCGAATCGAGCCATCCTGACTATAGGGAGCACAGCAAGAACAAATCGGGAGGGCGGAGCGACTCCGGGGAACAGAGCGAGGAAGAGGAAGTGGCAGCCGAACAGAAAAGGCGAGAGAGTGAGGAAGGGAAGCGGCCCATAGATCAACCGATCGGATCGTCGCAGCCGCCTTGAGAGGACGACCCCACGCGTGGCCCGGAGCCACCAGAAGAAGAGTCCGAACGAGATGGCGCCACCACTGCAGCGGGATCCAGCAGCAGAAAGAGA